ACAATCCCCGTGGTCATACTCGGGGCCTCATCAGAAACCTCTCTCTCATTCGGAGACTCGAAAAACGTTAGCTCAGCACAGTAAACTCCATACATCATGAGGGACGGTGCCTGATCTCGCAGTATCGGACAGTCCCCAGAGTCGTGTGCCAGCTTACCGCAGGTATCACATAACAGAGCCACACACTCCGCAATGAAGTGGCCCTTGTCTCCGCAACGATAACAAAGCATCTTTTCCTTCCTGCGCGCCCACTTGGACGCCCTATCAGCCTCAGCCCTATCTGTCATCTCCGCAGACACATCGGTCATAACCTCGTTCTCAGGAACCTGAACAGTAGCAAGAGCCATCACCACCTCCATATCGTGACCGGTCAGCACTGGCTCCTCGGCAGCCCCGTTATCTGTCATTTGCTCGACAACAACAGGTGGTGGCGGAGGATGTGGACGGTACCGGCCCCCTCGACCGCCCCGGCCACCACGATGGCCATGGTAACCTCCTCGCTGCCGATGACCCAGATCAGAAGGCCCCTCAACGAAGCCGCCGGAAGGACCCAAGAACGGCCTCTCAACCGAACCATCGCTTTGCCATGCATAACCACGACCGCCACCTGTGGACGAAGAACCACGGTGCTGGCCAACCCCATAGGCATCGTAGCCGTCATCCCACCATTGACCCCGGGGCGCAGCCACAGTACCATTGGACTGCGACGGAGACGGGCGAGCAACGACGTGGGGTGGAGGAGCCGGTCTAGGCATCAGACCCGAAGGCACGGGTGGCCTTGGTACCGCAGCTCCCTGGCCCGCAGCTGCCACCGCAACATCGCCTGGAACGACCGGCCGAGGACCGGAGCCCGGTCCCCCCCGCCCGCCCGACGGCAAGGCCGGAGCCGGCGGTCTCCCCACGGACGCCCCGCCAGCCAAGTCTGCCGCAGCCGGGCCACCCGACCCGCGACCCGCAGCGGCCTTGGGGAGCGGCACTCCACCACGACCAGCAGACGACGCCGGCGCCGGCAGCGATGCCACCCCAACTTTTCATCTAGTTCGTGTACTCAAGTTATCATCCGCAAATTCAGTTGCAATTCACCTTTGTTCTTACTGGTTCTTCGGTTGTCAATAACCATCGAAGATTGGTTAGCGATTGTCGAGGCATATCGTCGGGTACGGTATAGCCGGATCGTCAAGGTCAAAATCCACCAAATCGATATTTATCCCCACTCTCATCGAAAGATCGGGCCACCGTCACATCAGAATTGCACCATAATGTGAAATATATCAATGAAATAAGATAATTTACAGTAGGAAATAATGATGCAAAATGGGCGTATCAGTGTGATGTCTTGTGCGGGGGCGGCGGCGGTGCTCGAGTCGCAAAGGGAGCGGATAACGGCGACTGGCGGTGTGGTGGCTCGCTGCCCTGGTCGTGTTGGGGTGACCACTCTCTTCTGGCGCCTTCAATGTTTGTTCCAAGGTGGTTGTCGTGCGACAGTGAGCTTTGCGCGGTGGTATGACATCGGGTGGCCACAACCTCATTGTCGTCCATAATTGGCCTGATGTGGTTGCCCTTATTCAGACCTAAATGGTTTGGTGGTGGTGATCCATATCCGATCAGCCCGTGTGGTGGTGACCCGAGTTGGTTATGCGTGGCAATGACGACTAATGAAGAATTTTGTCGACTGTGTGATGTCATGAAATGGTTGGTGCATATATGGTCATTGTCGTAGTTTGTCGATCACAGGTATGATCACTTCGAGTTTTTTTCTCGCCTACACTGCTTTGGTCTTATATGACTTGCTAGTTGCCAACGTGTTTTTATGTATGTGTTGGTGTTGATTGTGTGCGTCCTATTTATGCGGAGGTTGCGTGTATGCTCATGGTGTTTGTGTTCTCTTGATGCTTCATTTTAAGACAATAAAATCTATCCTTTATGGGAAAAATCTAATATTGTATATCTTAGCACATTATTTTATAAAGTTGGTCAAACTTAGCAAGTTTAACTTAGGAAAAATCTAAAATTTCAATTATTTTGGAACTTGAGGGAGTAATAATAGGAGTGTGATGCAAATACAGAGGACTAATTTGATCTAAGTAGCTGCAAAAACAAGAAAGAGGTCTGACCATAGAAAAGCAAATAGTGAACAAGTTATCTGGTACCCACCCTTGGCCTTGTGATGACGCTGTGACGTAGATCATGTCCGTTCAAGCCAAGCATACTTAGGCATTGTACAATGCAAAATGTTTAGAGAAGAAGGTTAGAGAAATATTCTTAAGCATCGATGTTTATTTATAGAAGCCAGAAGCTTAAAGAACTTAATTTATTTTGTCAAGCATCTTTCGTTGTACAAGGTCTAGAAAGATGCCAATTTATCTCTGACGCAAACCAAATGTTGGCCATGCAAAATCGCGTCTGCTGGCTCCCGATTTCCCGAACAGAGAGTCACAAAAAAAAAATGTACACTGCACAGGTGATTACCAACCAAGTTGGCGCCAATTTCAGTATCCCGCTCCCTGTGCCGTGCATCTGGATTATTCCACGTGGAACGGCTCCAGCGAGCCGTCGACCAAGCCTGCGCCGCAGCTCCCGTCTTCACCGTCGTCGTCGTCCTCGCCGCATCCGTTCAGCCACGTGAGGTTCTTGGGGTCCTCCCGCAGCAGCATGGCGTCGTACCGCGTGCTCGGGAACGCGTCCGGCGAGGCGACCGCGACCTTGTCTTTCCCAGCCGTGGACTGCCGGCGGCCCCTGGCGTCCGAGACCGTGGCCGCGGACCCTAGGCGGCTTCCGGACGCTGCGGGTCGGACACTCCGCTGCTGGGCGCCCTCGTTCACCGTGAGCTTCCGAGAGTCGCTCTTCGTGAGACAACGGCGCGTGCTCGCGACGGATGAGCCGAAACCCACGGTTCGACGGGCTGCGGCCTTGTCGTCGTGGACCTTTCGGCCGTCGACACCGCTCGCTGATAATCTTTTGCTGGCTAACAAGTCCCCTCTCGGCGCGCTCCGGGAGGTAGCAGTCGCCGGGGATGGGGACGTGCCGTTGCCGTGGCTCCTCTGCTTCACGGCCGCCGGCACGGGCCGCGTCTTCACCATACTGGGCGGCACGGCATTTTCCGCGGCCTGAGCCGTTGACATTGCATCACGACTCAGCTGGCCCGCGAACCTCGAACGTGCCGCGACAATGCCGCCACGTCTGGTCAGCGCCGGCTGCTCTGACGCCACTCTGGTAGTTGACTTCGGGCTGGAGGCACCGGTCGTGGGAGCGCGTGGCCGCGCGCTCGTCAGCGCCGAGGGCCCGGTACTGGACGACGACGATCCCTTGGATTGGCTGGCGGCACCGGAGCCGGAGGACACCTGATGCCGTCCGTGCGTCTTATCCTGGGGACGGGGACGACATGCGGTGGCCGCGGCTGGCGTGCGGGGGCTCGTCGCCGGCGTAGATTTCCCGGACGCGCTGCTCGTGGCTTTGACCGAAGACGAAGACGCCGACGACAGAGTCCTCCTGACGTGCGGGCGACCAGAGGACGCGAGCTCCGTCGTGTTGAGCGACGAGCTGCTTCCCTTGTCCCGGCGTGCCCGGGAGAGCTGCACCATACCGAAATGATCGCCAAGCTTTAGCCTGATCACTACGTCAAGAAAAACTGGAAACGCGGACGGACGGACATACGTACCGGCGAATTGCTCTTGGCGTGCGACGCCGATGTAGCCCTCGTCAGCCGGCTCAGCGCCGGGGAGCACGAGAGAGGCGTCGCCGGAGGAGTCAGAAGCCTACGAACAACGATGAAGCCCAACAATGTCAGAGAAATAGGTACTAGTAGCACGATGTTTCGCCATAGGCAGCTGATCTGAATGCCATTTGGCATTCATCATCACGTTTTGTCTTACCAATCATAGTCATGCTTCCCGATCTCCGCCCTGGGCTTCGTCTTTCCCGTCCGATCGGCGGCCCCTGCATCGCATTGCAGAAGCACTCCTTGCATCAGTATCAGAGAAGCAGCAAAGAAGACGCTGGAGATAATTCAGGAACGGGTACTTACTCTCGTCGGTTTGGTCGGAGAGGGCGGAGAAGAACTCGATGCTCTCGTCCTTGGTGCCGGCTCTCCCGCCGCGGTGGCGCAGCAGGAGCTGCACCGCCGCAGCGGATGCCGACGCCTTCTTCGTCGTCCTCGGATGCGGATCACAGGGGAGCCTGCTGCTCATTTTTTTTGCTTGCTTTCTTCTGTTCTCTCTGTTGCAATGGACGATTCTTGGCCGTGTTGCCGCGATGAGCACAATTGACTGATATGACAAGGGAAGAGGGAGCTCGTGATGCAGCTGTTCTACTAGTTATTTCTGCTGCACTGTCCAAGTCACAAACTGTTTTCGGCTTTTAAATAAATAAAATTCCACTACAGAGGTCAACCCGTTATGAATCCATCCTACTGGAATTTGCATTTCTCTTCCCATTTTAGACAGCATTATTTGTCCTGCAAATGTCCTTCATACTCAAGACTCACCAGACGTGCAAAGCACCCAAGATTCCCGAAAATAAATAAATAGTACTAGTATATAGTACCGTAAAGAGACGCACTGATCAAAATGAGAAGAGCACTTCGAATAACCAAGCACATATGCAAACACAATTGACACATTTATCATACGAAATTGAAGAACATTTATTTATTTTCAGATCAACACGCTTATTACTAATTCAGGGGAACAAATGGTGGATACTTTGATTCAGTAATGAGCCCCTCTCCCCCTAAAAGAGAGCACAGCTCATTATTATTGTTGATAACCATATGTGAACCATTTTCTACGCACTGAACAATCGGTACAGCCGCGCTGGTACGTGACCCATAAGTCCAAAAATGTACATACAGTATCTGTACTGTAACAACAGACAACGTACCACATCATTACGGCTGCACACCAGAAACCGAACTGCCTCTCTACAGTTGTAAACACACAGGTTTTGATACCATGAACATTGGACACCAAAAGAAGGTGGCACACACATGGCATAAAATGCAACTAATTCCCCAACCATTCGAAGCAACAGCAGAGGCCCCAGCAAAACCTCGAAGGGTAGTTCCGCACGAAAACATCCCTGCCGTAGCCAACGACGTAGAAGCTAAAAGATCGCTTACGGTGCGACATAGTGACATGGGTTACGGGCACGACCGAGATGATGTGTCTCTCCGAAATGACAATTGCGGATGGTGGAACTGGCAGCCGGCTAGCAACAACATCCGAGGACAACTGGTTGAGTGGGTATGAATCGGCAAAGAAAGCAGGAGTGCATTGGTATGCCTGTATGTTGCATAGTTGCGCCCCTTGCGCTCTGTGGAAAACTTCGTCAGGGACCGCAGCAGTTTCTGCTGTTGCACTAACTTTTCTCGCTGTAAGCGTCTCCCTGGAAACAAAAGAAATTGCAAGTCAGACCAAGAGAGAACGGGGCACTCAAACAACTATGCAATGTAGTCCTTTCTTCTTCAGTTACCAAAGAAGTGCCAACATGGCTTGTCAATTATGGTGTCAATATTATCATAAACCATAAACCCTTGCTTACTGACGAAAACAATTGTACAAGGCTACTCGGTATATCTCATGATTTTCTGGCACATACTGCCCTACAGGTTTGCTGATAAATAAATAAAATGGAATAATAAAAAAACTAAAATATGACTCACTGGAGGTTTTTATCTATAGACGCTTTACTAGATACGAGTGCATTCAGCGAAGAATAAAATATTATTAAACTACTACTAACGAAAACATATAACCTGTCAAGAAAGTACTCCCTCCGTTCCATAATTCTTGTCATGGTTTTAGTTCAAATTTGAACTAAAACAATGACAAGAATTATGAAATGGAGGGAGTATATTTTATGTACAACAGTTTGCAGTAGAATAGGACTGAACTGAACGCAAAAATAAAGCATTAATTAATATCTCAAACGTTCATGAAAGCTTTTAAAACCAAACAGACTACTGAACTGCTATAACAGTTTTCCGTGATAGTTAACATTGTAGCAACATGACAGGTTCCACAAAGGCACTTACTAGTAACACATCTTTTTAAGTATATACTCCCTCCGTTCCCAAATATAAGTCTTTCTAAAGATTCCAACAAGTGACTACATACGGAGCAAAATGAGTGAATCTGCACTCTAAAATATGTCTACATACATCCGTATGTTGTTGTCCATTTGAAATGTCTAAAAAGACTTATATTTAGGAACGGAGGGAGTACATTAAATCTTTTGGTTCTCTATTCTGTGGTCACTTGTCTAAATAAAAACTGATGGACTATCTTCAGAAAAATATGAATTAAATTACCATCGAACGCGAGCAATGCTTTGTGTAAGAAGGGAACCGCAGCCATTACATGTCCGGCATGTTACTAGGCCACGGGATCCACATTCTGTGCAGGGCAACACTCCTTGACCATTGCACATCCAACATCTGTGACAAAGGATGACATACAAGCCTATCAATATCTGAAACAGAAACAGAAGTGGTGTATGTGCTACCCTAGTTATGTACTTACTATGTTATGACAACAAAAGAGCTTCACTTAGGGCACACTTGTATTCTGAGCTGAGGTGAATTACATATTGAAATACTCAATAAAGAGAAGCGGTGGAACTAACACTGAATCAGATTCATCTTGCTGAGCGAGTGAACCCCTGCCCTGACATACACTGCACTGAGTCATTTGATTTGCCATGTAAAACCCGTACTGCCGACCAGGATTGCAAGTAGGACATGGAACCTTTCCACGACCCTCGCAATCTGTCAGAAACATCAGATCAGGGAAACTGAAATATTTTCAAAATCAGAAAGGCAGTGACAGATAAACTACGATATTTACCTTGCCAAAATTACAAAAGCAGATTAATGAGAAAAAAGAACACTGACTAAACGTGCCCTATGTCCTAACTCCCAACAACTTTAAAGTAAGCCAAGACTAGTTAGGGTTCAAGAATAAGCAGAAAATAAACATTTAATTAGAAGGAAGTTCACCCTGTTTATTTCTTCTAGTTAGAACTTAGAACTGAGAAGACACCATCTTGACTCCACAGCTATTGCAGTCAACAAGGATTAGTGGGAAAAGCTTATAGGCGGCAATATGATTAAAATGCTTATATATTTTTTGACTTATATATCGTACATCACTCAACAAATCTATGAATGCTTTAAAAAATACAAGTCTATATGGATCATGTCCATTTCTTTTGAGTGAAGTGCATCCTAGGTCCTCGAACTATTTCGAAGTTGTCATGTAGGTCCTCATACTATGAAAAGTGTTATCTAGGTCCTCAAAAATCCTTGAACTGCAATAAGTGTGTATATATGTGACACCTCTGAAATAGTTCAAGGACCTACATGACACATTTGAAATAGTTTGAGGACCTGGATGACACATATATTGCACTTTGAGGACCTAAATGACGGTTTTCATAGTTCGAGGACCTACGTGGCACCTCTAAAATAGTTTAAGGACCTATGATGCACTTCACTCATTTATTTTCAACACATATAGATGAGCAAGGCGTCGCACTACTGGTCCATGAGATGAATGTTCCCATTAAAAGTATGAGTTAGGATAGTTGTCAGTTCCTATGTCATGTCTAGCGAACAGTGTATTTATGGGTTTCTTTTTTCTAAAGGTTTTCTCCAAGATTGTGAACTTCCCATCATGAGGCAGCTTAAGATTCCAAACTATATTTAAGTTGAATTGGCACTTATCATACATGCTAAAAATAGTACAAGTGGACATTTTCAACTCTTATGTTATGATCTATGATCCCTAGATCATAACAGGGTAACTATGGCTGGGAAGATAGCCAAGACTGCCGCTTGGCTTGATTGGGGTGAGGTTAACCATAAATGGGGGAAAGGAACTCCAGGGGAAAGTTAGATAATTTGCACACGGTACCTAACTTCATACATAGCTGTCTGTCGGTTGGGACTCATAAAGTTGGAACTAAACAACACTGAACACTCTTACCTCTACTTATCTCAAACTGAAATCTAATCTCTAGGCAATTGACGATTTCCACTGCCACCTAGGCACATCTGGCCGGTTGTAGGGCCCAAGGCCACATCCCTGACTTCTACTTAACATAACACATAAGAGTGGGAAAAGGTAAAATCGTGATATAGGGCCTCGGAAAACAATTTGAAAATTTTGGTCGATGCATATATTTAGATTGCAATGCCTAAAAGGATCTCTGAACAATGTAAAACGCAAAACAAAACACAAGATGCACCATAGTTGGAGACTACAAAACAGAAGTTATTTTCTTACAAGAACAAAAGAAAGATATTATGGGCAAAGCTCTATACTAAACTTATGCTTATAAGTAAACTAAAGAAGGTACATAAAAAGGTATCCTCACCAAGTAAAAATGGCAAAACGAATGTTGTATATTATGGCTAAAACAATTGAAAGGAAATTACGTGTGACTACATGATGTTCTGCTAAATGAATGTCATACCTGAGCACTTCTCAGTAACTTGTGAATGAGGAATCTTGACCCTTACTTCTTTCTCCGGTACAAAGAGCGGAGGAAACTCGGACCTCAAATCTAGTTCCCACACCCCAAGGACAGGGCCCTTGTCTCTCCCATCTACTTCCCCACCATGATAGGGTTCCCTTTCTAATATGGCGTCTCTTTGCTCGATGAAGGTTTCCAAGGTTCCAACATATACATCGCAGCAGTCCTTGATGGATGTAATCTTCCATGTCCGAGCAGGCCGGCTGCCCCAACAACATCGATGCCCAACATGTTCGATTAGCATCTGCCGAACCTCCACCTCATCCAGTACATCCCTATTAGAAAATTTCAACATTCAGAAAACATGTGAAAGTTCAGCATTCATGGCTACGGGACTGTGTCTGCGCGCTAATTATCACTCGGCAACACAATCATTTAGACAATTTTGACAAGAAGCGGCGGACTCACCTCCTGGCGCCCTGCGAAGGCTGGTAATCACCGCCGTACGGGTACGGCCCTTGAGGAACAATCGCCAAACCTTTACGGTGTAGAATGAACGCCCTTAGCTGTGATAATTACAATGGGGAAAAATGGTACTGTACAGTAGAAATGGGGAAGTAGCAGCGAGGATTACCATGCGAATGCGGAGGAGTGGCAGCAGCTGCCGGGGATGGGGAGAGGACGGCGCTGTGGATGGACGGTGGGTAGACGGCGTCGTGGTGAGGATTGGGCGCCGGGGGATAGTAGTTGGGGGAGGAGGAGAAGGAGGCGGCGGACTTGACCTCGGCGGCGCTGACCTCCGCCCACCCTCCGCCGCCCCCGCGCAGCGCCGACGAGCTGCTCCGCCCCAGGTGAGAGGGAGAACCTGGCGACGAAGAGGGTGGGAGAAGAGGGCGCCGCGGCTCCTCCTCGCCGGCCTCGCGCTCCGCCTCCATTGTCATGGATGCCGACGATTCGGTTGGATCCGCGCACTGGGATTGGCTGCGAGCGGGAGGAAATGGCTGAGATTATTATTACAGCCTGCTCAGCCATGGTCGCGAAGGAAGAAGCAAGTCAAATCCTGCCTCCTTCCGGGAACTGCCTTCTCCTCCCGGTCACATCAAATGGCTGCCCCAGTGCGACGACGACGACGACGAGGAGTCGACGACCTGAGAACCCATACAGAGGACATGAAGCTTCCTTCGCGACATAAAGAATTGGTACTCCTACCATGATATGAGGTGCAAATAACAAAGGGAAAATCTAGATATATTTCACAATAATGACACAAAATTAATCTACATGCACTTTTAGAAAAACTATTGACAATTTTGTTACAAAAAGCTGCAAGAAAAAAGAGCTATTCACATAAACTTGTCACTTTGCTTCTTTTGATGTGCATCTTGGATTTGGTTCAACTTCATCATCTAACAATCTGTTTATGTAGCGTTGTTGTAATGAAAACAATTTGTGATTAGGCGCGGTGTCATGTTTGAGCTTAGCGGTGCTGCGTACGACTTCGAAGATCGACGTACACCGATTAAAGTGAAACAATGATGTTTCTTGTAATAGATTCGTTTGCCTGCACAGAGCGCAACATATTTCTTTGTTAGCAAGGTGACAAGGGTGTCACACATGAATGCGTCAACCAGTTGGGATCTTGTCACCCGGTAGGCGCATGGCTCCAGTCCGACCACTCGAGCCTAGAAATTGGCTCGGGTGGCAACAGCTTGAAAAACACAGGAGAGGGTCATCAACGCGTGACATGGTCCAACACGATTAGAGGGCACAAACCTACCAACGGGCTGACTCGAGGCATATAATGTAACGCTAGCATGATCAAGTATATGAGACAGGCTACGGGTTTTCTCGGGGATCCAACACATTCTATATCATCCTAGAGGTAGGGTTCTCACTTACCACCATATTCCTCCTCTCCACTGCCAAGCCGAGATACAATAACCCAAGAAACAAATCAAGCACTCGAGCAATACAACCACCAAAGGCAAGAGTATGGTCTTACCTCCTCCAGGAGGACCCGAACCTGGGTAAATTCCTCGTTTCATGTCTTACCATCTCGATCCGTCGCTCGCACACCCCTCCGAGCAAATACGTCGATGTTTGACGGCATTGACAGTCTCAAAACATTGACAATTGATGCCCCACGTAGGGATGTACGCGTGGATCCGACTGGTCGAATCGGGATGGCTTCTCCATGCCCATCAAGGTTGGCGCCTTCACACCTAGACAAGGTCTCTCTTGCGGCTCCATGTGTTTATTCACCAACACGATGGGGGATCTAGTCCTAGCCATGTCCTTCCATGAGGATCATGCTTTCTACTTCAGGTGCCTGGACTTCGTCATCGATAACGCGGACGAGTTGTGGTTGCGCAACAAGTCATTCGATTGCTCGCCATGCCCGATCCTCTTCACACTGCTTGGCACTGACGGCGGAGGCGTGAGTCCAGCAGAGCGAAGGATCATCTGAAGGAAATATGCCCTAGAGGCAATAATAAAGTTGTTATTTTATATTTCCTTATATCATGATAAATGTTTATTATTCATGCTAGAATTGTATTAACCGGAAACTTGATACATATGTGGATACATAGACAAAACACTGTGTCCCTAGTAAGCCTCTACCACTACAGGAATCAGCTACTTTGCCGTCCACTGGGGCGGACGGCAAAGGCAGGAACGGTGGACGGCAAAGGCCTTTGCCGTCTGCCGCGGACGGCAACAGGCTCCGGCAAAGTAAGGATCGGCAAAGAGCTACTTTGCCGTCTGCTTCCGGAGGCTGACGGCAAAGGGTCCTTTGCCATAAGCAGCGGACGGCAAAGAAAGCTGACGGCAATAAATACGCTGTTAGTCTGTTAGATGGCTAACGGCAGCCTTTGCCGTCAGCTGCCGACGACAAACATTATCTGGCCTTTGTCGTCCACCTGATGACGTCAGCTGGACGTCACTGCCCACCTATTCTTTACCGTCCGCCACTATAGGCAAATGTGGTGACCCTTTGCCGTCTGCCACTGTAGGCAAACTGGCCAAATGGGTCAACTCCTAGGGAGCACAGGTGGCCGCCACGTGTCTTCATTGCCGTCCGCGGCGGACGGCAAAGGTTCCTTTGCCATCAGCGGCGGACGGCAAAGATCATGCATTGCCTTTTTTCTGTTTTTTTTTAAATCCAACAATTTTCACAGCACATATATATGACATATATATATATATATATATATTTCATAGGGCTATTTAACAGCAAACATATAACATATCCAGCACATAAGTTTCATCGTACATACATATATAGTTCCATCCATTCATACATAGCAAGTTGCACATACACATAAGTTGCAACCATTAGGAAGTTGCACATACATATTACAATGCAAAGTTTCATCAAGATAGCAAGTTCCATCGTAGCAAGCTAGAAGAGAATGAAATAAAAAACAAGCACTCCATCATAACAAGCTAGCTTCCGAGAAGTCAATGAAATCTGCAAAATGGCAAATAAGAAAGTTAGGAAAAGGTGACTAGAAGAAGAAGACTAGAAGAAGAAGCACTCCATCGTTTGTGAGGTAACTTAGGTGAAATGGATCGTTTATGAGCTAACTTAGGTAAAATACATCATTTTAGAGCTAACGTAGGTAAGATGGGTCATTTTGGAGCTAACATAGGTAAGATGGGTCATTTTAGAGCTAACGTAGGTAAAATGGGTCATTTTGGAGCTAACGTAGGTAAAATGAGTCATTTCAGAGTTAACATAGGTAAAATGGATCATTTTGGAGATAATCTAGGTAAAATGGGTCATTTTAAAGCTAACTTGGATAAAATGAATCATTTATGAGCTAACTAAGGTAAAATGGGTCATTTTAGAGCTAACATCGGTAAAATGGATCATTTTGGAGATAATCTAGGTAAAATGGGTCATTTTAAAGCTAACTTGGGTAAAATGGATCATTTATGAGCTAACTAAGGTAAAATGGATCATTTTAGAGCTAACTTAGGTAAAATGGATCGTTTATGAGCTAACTAAGCTAATTATGCCGTTTTTTACATAAGTAAGCTAAGTACATGTCATTATTGAGCAAACCTAGTTAACTAAGCATATTACAACTAACTTAGGTCATTTTGGAGGAAACAAAGCTAAGTATAGATCGTTTTAGAGCTAACTTAGGTAAAATGGCTGGTTTTGGAGGTCAGTAAGCTTATTAAGTCATTTTGGAGGAAAAGAAGCTAACTCTAGGTCATTAAGGTAAGCATATTGAAGGAAATAAAGATAAATCTAGGTCTTTATGCATTTGTTAAGCAAAAAACTAGAGAAACTTACCGTCATCATGGAGGTGTAGGAGCGGGCTGGCTCGTGCCAGTAGCTGGAGAAGGATCGTGTGATGCTTGTCTGGAGTTACGCTGCACCAAAGATCATTTCCAATGTTTCGTTAGCATGATGACACTCAAATGTTAAGACTAGCAAGTAACGTCCATTCAAATCAAACTCACCGTGGTCTCAGGAGCAATCTCTGGATCAATGGCTATGGAGCCACGGGCCCTCTCGCCACTAGATATCATCACCTGCTCTGGATCAATGGGACCCTGGCTAGGGTTAAAGTCCTCCCCTTTCCTCGCCTTCCCCTTGACTTTCTTGTAAGAGGCAGTGTGGGCCATGGCATACAGGTCGTACCCCTTTGGCACCTTATCTGTCTTATTGTAGCATATGCCTGAAAGAGAGAAACAAAGTAAATTAGTAATTAAAGGGCTCAAGCTAGCATGATGAATGAATTGCATGAATCATGAAGTAAACCACATACCCAGTCCCGCCCGAACTGATATAAGCTGGAGCTGCCTTGATGGTGTGGCACACCTTCAGTTTGGGAACATTTGTCCTTGGCCTCAGTCGGCTCCCCTTCCATCTTTCAACACCTGCCATGACAAAGAGTAAACGAAATTAGTACAACATTAAAAAAATACCGACATGAATAATAATATGTATATCACTTAAGTGTATAATCATCAAGTACAACATAAAAAAATTGAATACCTGACACTATTAATAATCTCGATCAGTATCATCAATAAATGCATAATCATCATCATCACTATAATCAATGACGGGCTCATAGGGTTCAGTGGCATCAACATGTGGAAGGCCACCTTGACGTAATCGGTCAAGCATTGACAAGTCATCCGCAGCAGTAACCTCTTCTTGTTCCGGCTCTTCTTGTTCCTCCTCTAGGGTGATGTTGGATTCACTGTCGTTGTCTACTTCAATGTCTTGGGGTGAAGTATAGCGGTTCTTGAAACGCTTTTTGGAAAGACGTGTCTCTTGGAAGAATTCTCCTTCATATGTGTCTAGGTTAATGTGAGGTTCATAATCCTCTTCCTTTGGGGGAGATAGTCTAGCACGTGGCGGCACTTCATAAATGACATCCCAACCTTTCAGATTTGGATTAGTTTGGCAGGCCCACGGTAGATAGAATACTTGGGTCGCCTGTTGAGCCGTAATATAGACATCAGGAACATCTAAATGGGTGCTTTGGTTGATTTCAACTAGCCCTATATGTTCATGAGTCCTTCTAGTCTCCTTCAGCTGAAACCAATAATATTTGAAGACTACGACATTCGGTGGGTTTTCACCATAGAATAGAAGTTCATAAATTGCTTCAACTCTCCCATAATACCCGGTACCCCCTTCACCGATAGCAGATACACAACAATTTGTAGACTTTCGGTCGGCCATAGATAGCTCTTTGCCATAGGTACGAAAGCGATACCCGTTGATGTCGTATTTGTCAAATGAATGGACCTTATAGTCAAAACCATTAGCGACTTATCTCAATTCGGTGTCCATAGACTCTGAATTAGCCTACAAGTTTAATACGAAAGGATTGTTGCATTACACACAAATTAGCGAATGAAATGAAATTGTCTAATAGAAATCACTGTTTGTTTGAACCAAGAGATGAAA